CCGCGAGGCCGGCTTCCCGACACCCGCCAGCCCGCCAGGACGGGCCCTTGCGAGCGCAGCCGGTCTCCGCCTCGGGCCGCCCACACCGTCCGCCCGCCGGGCCTTTACCCTCGGGGTCTGGCGGCCGGGCACCCAGGGGTCTTCTTGGTGAGAATGTGATCTCAGTGTCCGGAGGTTATCTTGAAATAAAAGAAAAAAACACCTGTGTTCTACAGACTCGTGCCTGATCCAGTGAAGCGCTCCTGCCGGTGTCTAAGGGCTGGGAGAGACGAGAACCCCCGCAAACCCCCGGGAGCGCGTCACAGCGTGGCCGTGGCCCACGAGCTTCGCCTCTTTCCAGGAGACGGTGTGCACTCAGGGAGCCCCGAGCACTGGCCAGATATTTCACCCGGGGCGCAATATGCCCTGGAGTTCAGACAGTGCAAAGCGGCAGAGTCAGACTCCAAGTGCCCAGGCTGGGGATATAGCTCAGTGGCATAAGTGCTTGCCTGGCAAGCCTGAGGTCATGAGTTCGATTCCCGGTCCCAAAAACAAAAAACAAAAACAGACTCCACTGGCCGTAGTGGCCAGTGTCTGACACTCGAATTGTTGGTGAATGAGTGGACCTCGAAGGGTGTCCTGCCGGGCGCGGGGCGCGGGGCGCGGGGGGGGGGGGGGGGGTGCGGGCGGCGGGAGACGTCAGCTCAAGGACCTGCACCTGCAACATCCCCACCAGACCTTGCTAGGAGACCTCAGCCGTCAGCCTCACTTTCTCCTTCCCTTCTTGACTTTGTGAGCAGGTTTGCCTTTACCAGCTGCTCATCACCGAGAGTGTCCAGCAGGCTCAGAACTGGCTGTGTGGGGTAACTGTGAGGAGAGTGTCACCTACCTCTTTACTGCATGTGACCTGACGGTGACAGGGACTCTGTCATGCCCTGTTGAGAAATTATCTAAGACTCAGAAGGAAGGAGGAGCAAGGACCATCCAATTTGTGGAGCTAGCCGAGGTTTGCAGGTCAGACTTTGTTTTTGGGTTGATCATGAAAAACAAAAAACAAACCAAAAAAAAACCTCTTTCAGTGACAAGGACAATTCCACTACACTGGGTTTTCTAAAAATCCTTCTTATTTTTTGGCAATAGCCAAAATTCCATTTTCTTTGGCTTTTAACCAGTTTCACTTAATTGGTTCAACATATCCAAGGCTGCACACTCACAGAAATCAAAACTGTAATTATGAAAAAATGGTGTTTTTCCATAGGAGTAAAACTTTAAGGGTGGCTTTGTGGCTCCCCTGGAGGGAGTTAGAAGTAGGACAGCACACAGCATGTGGGGACATTCAGACCACACAGCATGACTGTAGTTCTGGGGTTATATGTGTAAGTAGGGGTCTCTGTCAAGTATGAAAACTAAACTCCATCAAATTTCCAACTTTAACTAGTAGTTAATGGTGCCAAGATAGTTGTTAGAGTTGTTTTTCTCTCTCCCCTTTTCAAAAGTAGCGCTTTCCCATGAAATTTTCCTAGACTTCCTCTTTGTTTCTTCATAGTTAATCACCAAGCTCAACATTCCCGTCATGTTCAAGAAGAGGGGCTTGACCGTCTAAATATTTCTGGTGGGACACATGTAGCTCTGCCTAGAGCGCAGCTAGGTGCGAGCTCCACTCAGATGACAAGAGTTCACCGAGCATCTCTGTGTCTGGAAAACAAAGAAAGGATGAGGAACAAGTTCCTTGAAGGCTGGCAGGAGCAAATTTAAAATGGCATTAAGAAGAAACAAAGTTAAAAGCAAGCATTTATTAGGGGTCTTCAGAGAAAAAGAACAATATATATATATAGTGTGTGTGTGTGTGTGTGTGTGTGAGAGAGAGAGAGAGAGAGAGAGAGAGAGAGAGAGAGAGATGGAGAGAGAAGGATGAGGAGAAGGAAGAGGAGGGGAGGAGAAGGGGAGGAGGAAGAAGAAGAGGAGGAGAAGAGAAAATTAGCTTCCATGAAGTGGCAGCTGGCAAGCCCAAATTCTGCAGGCAAGCCCAAAGGCATCTTACTGGCAGGATTCCTTCTTCCCTTGGGGAGGTCTGTGTTTATTAAACCTTCACCTGATTGGATGAGGTACATCTATATTGTGGGTAGCAATCTGCTTTACTCACACTCCACTGGTTTAAATGTTAATCTTGTCTAAAAAATAGATGCACAGAAAACATTCAGGATATGTGACCATATATCTAGGCACCGTAACCCAGCCAAATGACACATACAATTACCTGTCACAAAGCATTACGGGCTGAACTGTGTTCTGCCGACACTCATGCTGAAGTCCTAAACATCACGCACTTTGCATGTGATCATATTTGGAACTGTGGTTGTTGTAGCTGTGATTAGTTAAGACATGGTCATCCTGGGCTAGGCTGGGCTCCTAGGGTGATGTTCTTATTAAAAGGTAAGTTTGAGCTGGGCATAGCTGTGCTACTTGGGAGGCTGAGGAAGGATGATCCCCAGTTCAAGACCAGCCCGGGCAGATCTATCTGCAAATAAAACTAAGTCAAATTGAATGAAGAGCTGGGGGTGTAGCTCTGTGGTAAAGTGCTTGCCTAGCACATGTGAAGCCCTAGGTTCAGTCTTCAGTACACACACATACAAACACACACACACACAGGGAAGAACTATCTGCACCAAGACACACACAGACGACAATATAAATACACAAGAAGGCCACAGGAAGAAGGCAGAGTCAGGAGTATGTACTGTGAGCTAAGGAACGCTAGTGCTTGCCCGCAAACCACAGCAGCCAGAAGCAAGTCGCGGACCACAGAAGCAGCCCGGCTGACACCCTAGGGCTCCAGCCTCCAAAACCCTGAACAATAAATCTTGACTGCTTCAGTCATTCTGTGGCACTTTTTATTGCAGCCCTAACAAACAAGTACAGAGGTGACCTGAGAATTTGAGGAAAAACCCAAAGAAACAAGAAGGAAGGAAGGATAATATAAAGATGGGGCAGAAATCCATGTAACAGAGGGGGAAATGAGGAAATGGAGATGAGAAGTAAAACCCAAACCAGCCCTGTGAAAAGGTGGAGAGGCAGGCCTCCCGCAAGGAGGAAAGTGGGAAATGCAAGGTAAAAAGAAAAAGAGGGCAAAGAGAGGTGGGTGATTAGAAACTATTCTTTCTTTCTTTCTCTTTCTCTTTCTTTTTCTTTCTTTCTTTCTTCTTTCTTTCTTTCTTTCTTTCTTTCTTTCTTTCTTTCTTTCTTTCTTTCTTTCTTTCTTTCTTTCTTTCTTTTCTGAGACAGGGTCTCACTTTGTAGTTCAGGCTGGCCTTCAACTCGTGCCCAGGCTGGCCTTCAACTTGTGGTGATCCTCCTGCCTCAGTTTCCTGAATGCTGGGATTAGAAGCATGCACCACCACTCCCTGCAAGAGCTATGTTGTTTTTTACTATAGGTCAATAAATTTGAAAACCTAGCTGAAACAGATACAATCCTGAACAAATACCAACTATCCACTCTAATGATAGGAAAAGCCTCTTTGTTCCCCTCACAAGCTTTGGCCTCCTGGGTTTTGTGAGAGTTCTACCAAACTTAGTTCTCTTCTTAAACAAGTTTCCCCCAAAAAGGGAAAAGGAGAAAACCACCCACCTCCTTCTACACTTGGTACCATGTAGCCAGACTGCTGCTGGGCCAGGCGGGCTGGCTGGACTGCCATTACTACAGAGTAGGGACCCTCAGTTCCCCATGTGCCACAGCTTCGTTCTGGGGCCCAGTCAGTAAAGCATGCTGGGGTCTGATGAGGCTGTGGGATGTGGGCAGGCCCTCTCGGGAAGGTCAGCAGGGGAGGAGAGTGTCATCAGGGTGATGCCTGATTACATCCCATCTGCCCCTGCCCAAGGAGCACACACCCAGAGAGCACAAGCTCACCGAGGAGGAGAGACTGCTCCACCAGGGGCAGCTGCTGGCTTCTCTGGGGACAAACACAAAGCCCTGCAGGCCTGGTGTGTGGCGGTGGTGGCAGGTGGAGGTGTCCCACAGGAGGTGAGCAGTATGAGACAGGCCACAGATGCCTGAGGCAGGGGACAGTTGGCAGAAGCACTCATCCCTGGCCTGTGTTCATCAAGTGCCACTTCTGGGTCAGACAAGGCCCACGGAAATCAGCAAACTGCAAGGGAAGAGCTTCACACAAAACTGGTTTAACTCGGCCTCTTTACTGAAAAAGCAGAAGGGTGTGGAAAGATTCAGCAGGGACCTGCGTCTCATTCCAGTGACATCTGGAGTGTCATCGATGGAGCAGTAGCCTGGTAGAACAGAAAGCATCAGGGCCTGGGGTTGGGGTCACTTCCCGCTGTAGACCCCAGGCTTGCTGGCCAATCTTCCCGAATCTTCTTTTCCTTGTCTCAGATCTGGTCTGTACCCTCTCTATCTGGAGCGGTTGTGAGGCTCCAAGGACATCAAACTCCTCAGTGCCCAGTGCCCAGAGGCGGCCCTGGGGAGTGCCTCCCCCACTTCTCCCCTGACCTCTGGTAAAAGCCTGGGACTCAGGGTCACAGCCACTCAAATCTATTCAGAAAATCGTGATGTTAGCAGGTTAATGTCACCCAAGTCAGTGGGAGAATTTGGTTCCACAGTGAGAAGTGTGGACTGCTCTGTGCCAGTGGGGCAGGGGGTCTGGGCTCTGGTCTGCTGCGAAGTCCCTCACCCAGCTTTGCCTGGGAGGACAGACCAGAGGTACTAAGGAGGCCAGAAGGTCCAGATGAGCTAGCAGACCCCGCTTCAGGGCTGGCTGAGAAAGGCCAGCTCCAGGGCCATCGCAAGCTGAGGGCCAAGACTAGGGCAAGTAGGCCAGCTGAGCCCCTTTGTGGCGGGTACTTGCCAGGCATCCGGCCTTGGCGACCACAGTCCTCTAGGCAACCAGAGCAGGAATTGCTCACTCTCTCTGTTGGGATGAGGGGAAGAGGACCAGGACGCCCCCGCAGTCCTGGTTGGAGAGTCTGGGGTGGGGAGGACCTGCAGCTTCCAGAGTCCCTGTTGTGTCTCTGGTGACAAGGAAGCCAGTGCCCGCCCGTGTGGGAGAAGAGTGTCTGTGGTTGGGCAGAGGCAGGTCCTGGGCTCTGTCAGTATTCGGGGTGTGTCAATCATTAACCTGTCTCAACCTTGACCCTTAGCAGCTGCCCGGACCGATGTGGGCCAGACCTGCCCTGTTGGAGAACCCCTGGGGATTAGCCTCGATAGGAGATGGGGGGTGAGGTAGGTGGGCAGCCCTGGTCTCGCCGCTCAGATTTCTACATACACTGGGTGCGGCCTGCCTTGGGCAGGAACCAGCAAGTACTCAGGGCACCATACCCTCGAAAAAATGTTATTCTTAGTGAATCGAGAAAAAAAAGACATTGATATAGTCTTCATGGACAGAGTCAGATTTTTGATGGACTTCATTGCACTTATTTTTGGTTTATCATTTTTATTTTAAATTCTGTATGTGGGGGAAGGGAGAACATTGTGGCTTAGGTTCTGTTCACCTGGATCTGTGGTCAAGGGCTGGAGACTTCTAGATCTGGAACTACTGGCACAGTTCTAGCCCTGGGTTGGTTCTAGAAATGATACACTACTTGGGGGCCAGACCCTCCCGTGCCAAAGCACTCCCCAGGTGTCCCTCATGTGCAGGGCAAGTCAAGGGAGAGCTTAGCCTGAAAGCCAGGCCTCTTGGTTGAGTGCTCTGCACCCAACCTTCTACCCTGTGCCATGAGCACGGGTCAGAGGGGTTCGTGCGATCTCCATCAGCCTTCTGCAGGCAGGAGAGCAGCCCACATGTTAAAGATGAGTTGGAGTTATTGGAGAAATCAAATGAGACCCAAGACTTCATATGTATTCATAGGACTTCACATGTACTTCACATGTGCTTTGCAGGTGGCCATCCCATCCCTCCTTACCTTGTTCATTTCCTCTTTTGTCTCTATGCTATGGGTTGATGGCTTACTGACCTTTCTTCAGATTCACAAATTGTCTTCTGTGTCTAAGTCCTGTGAAATCTCCCTGAGTTTTTCCTTGCGTTACATATTAACTAGAACTTTGGGTACAATGAGGAACATGGGGTAAGAAAGGACCTCCTTGTCTTGTTCCCAGTCTTAGTGGGAAAGCACATAGTGTCTCATCATTAAGTATAATGTTAGCTATAGTTTTTTGTTTTGTTCTTTATTCAAACTGAAGAAGTTCCCTTCTTCTATTCCTGGTTTTCTTAAAAATCATGATAGGGTGTTAGACTTTTTTTCAAATGCTTCTTCTGCACCTACTGCTATGCTCATATTTTTTCTTTGCCTGTTGACATGCTGGATAGCATTAACTGAATTTCAAGTGTTGAACCAGCCTTCCATACTTGGAATCGATCCTACTTGCTCATGGTTTGTAACTGTCTTTGTGTATCATTGGATATGATTTATTAATATTCTGTTGAGAACTTTTGTATCTGTGTTCATTAGAGATGTCGGTTGGTAGTTTTCCACCCTTGTCGTGGCTGTCCTCATAAAACAAGTTAGTAAATCTTCTTTCTGCTTGTTTTTTGGAATATGTTGTGAGAATTGGTATAATGAAGCCATGTGGGTCTACTGCTTCCCATTTTGGAAGTTTATCAATTACTAACTCAATTCCTTTTAGTATGTCTGCTCTGAATACATACTCTGCTTATGAGTTTTGGTAGGTTGTATCTTTTAAGGAATTGTCC